TTATTATATAAATCAACAAAAGCAAAGGTACATAGTGATAAATTTAAAAAAAAATAGATAGAACCATATTATATTCACAAAATAATCACATCAGGAGTATACAAATTAAGGAACATAGAGGACAAAGTACTCAAAAGGGCAGTGAACATTGATTGATTAAAAAGATATTATGAATGACCAATTTGGAAACCAAGCATTATTATATAGTTATAAGATATTATATATTATAGAAAAAACAAAAACATTATTAGTATTAGTTATTATATATATATTCATATTTGTATTAAATGACTTGTTGAATCCATATACATAGTTGTAGATGACATTAGTTTTCTGGAAATATGGGAAACCTATGACATATGCCTTCGAGCTGATCAGCTATGTAGTGCCAAGTACAGGGTAGTATTTGAGGTTATAGTATTCAAAAAAATCACTTATTTTAATTATTTTCTTCTTTATTATGTTATATTTTATTTATTTAATTATAGTTTCTCTTATCTTAGTTTATTAATTTATCTTCTTTGAATATGACAATATAGTTGGATAGTCATAACAATTATATACAAGTGTTGGGACACATAATACTTATTAGGAGTAAAAAATGTAAACATGAAATAAGTACCCTCAGAACATCACCTAATATCACAAGTTACCATCCATAAAGTATCACATTGACAATAAAATATTTTAGTATTAAGTGACAAAAGGAATTTTTATTGAAAACAAATAGTAAAATTAATTATTTGATTCCTCTTTCTGGAAAAGCATTTTATTTGAAACTTGAAAAGGATTAGGATAATAAGTTGGTCTTTAACCTAGATGCAAAGATTGCCAAGCTAGAGAAATACTCAAGAAAGGAGGATTGATTAAACTTATCTGCCACTTATTGATAGCTCTGGAGAAAGGTAAATTTGAAAGAATATTTGCTTGAACTAGTTGAATTTACAGTTCTTCTATATGGAGACGAAGTGCTTGAATTTCTGAGCACTCTGTTAACCATTGAGAAAGCTTCAAAGCCAACCATCTTGAGTTTATTTGTAGGAGTGAAGTTATTCATTGCCAATATTGAATTATAGCTTCTTGACTATAAAGATGAAGCCACCGCAAGGTATTTCTCTGAACTCTAAATTGCTTATGAAGTATAAAAAGTTCAGTTTGAAGGGAGGCCAATTCTTCTTCTTATTTTGAACAATGATAGTGAAGTAAAGTCCAATCAAGAAATTTCATTTTCTCTTGCATCAACAGGATGCAACTGATTACTGACTGGATTAGAATGTTCAATAGCATGATCAAGTCTATTGACGTAAGGCATTTTCAAGGAAATTGAGATATGAAATATGGGAATTAGTAATGAACTATTTATCAAGCCTATCTATTTAATGTTGAACAGAAACTAATGATTAGTTAGACAAACCATCATATCAAACCAAATTGGAATGGATTGATCATCAATGATGCAACCTTAAAATATATTTAAGAGATATATACATAAAAAAATTCCTATCAAAAATGCTCAAACTTAACCATCAACAATCAGTTGCAAGGAAACTAGATTTACTTAAAATGAATATGTTATCTATTTTGGATAAAACTTCAAACTGATATGAACTCCCATACAACCTTATTGTCCCAGTAAAGTATAGTATCAAAAATACTCTTTTGGAAATCAAGCAACACATGCAACAATCTGATCGCATAGTCATTTTGATCAATTTATATTATTTGGAAGAACTATTGAATACTGTCTAGGATCCCAAACAATTGTGGTAACAGTACCTTCAAGAAAATCCACTTCAAAATTCTCACCATTATTATTGCACAGCTAGGCATACCTATGAAATATTTCAAGACAATCCAAACTAAATTTATCAAATAAAGTTCTTATTATGAACTATCTATTTGGAATAACTAATGAAATTTATCGAAATAATTTTATTCTCTATATGAGAAAACTTGACTCAAAGGACTTTATCTTTTAAGAAAAAAAAAGTGTGATAAAAATAGCCTCAATATCATTGAATAGTTATTTTTAGTCATAATCTTTATTATATTTCCATTTTTATCTATTTATTTATAATTATTTCTTTGATATTATTTGATATTCTTATTGGTACTTAATTAGTATAGATTACTTTATCAAATATAGTATGTGATATAATTTACCATAGATCAGGCAATCTAGGAAGTCTAGAAGGCCCAAGTGGTCCATTTTTACAAGTATATAAGCAGTTATAATTCACTCAAAAATAGGATAAGTTTGTAGATAGCTTCAATTGACATTGGAAGTTTGAGTATAACTTTACTTTTCTTTTAGAAGATTGAATATCTTCTTTTGATTTTAGGACTAAAGGAATTGTTCTAGTTTCTTGATTTATTAATAAACTTGGGTCTAAGTGAACCATATTTTTTGTAAAACACTATGTGATACTGTTTAAAGAATTCTTGGTAAATCTATTTTTGAATATTTCTTTATTATAAACCACTTCTTTAATTCTTTTTTTGGGAATTGTCCTTTTAAAAGCAATTCTACTTGAACATATTAGTCAAATATAAATTTAATCACAATACCTTAAGTAGGCTAGTAATAAAAGATCTGACTTATACAAGCAAATAAGATGTATAGTATATAATCAACAAAAGAAGACAATTAAACATCTATCAGAATGTCCTGATTACAAAAACAAGATTTTGGCAATATACCAAAAGGATCTGAAATAGTTCTAAAAAATTTGATAAGTTACAGTATATCAAAATAAAAAAAAAGAAAGTAAACAAAAAAAAAGTATAACTACCAATTAACAATAAAAGAGAGAAAAATAAAATAGATAAATAGATCTTTAAACTTATAGAAATAGCTTTGTAAACTGGTTCAAGCACACTTAATTTTTGTGCAAGATTGGTAGAAAGTTATATTATTAAAGAAACTGCTAACTTTAATTATCATAATAAGAAGCTAGAAATATTAATAAAAAAATAGATTCTAAAAGTACAAAAAAAGATTTGCAATCAGATTTGTAAACAAATCTGAAAGTAAAATATAATTAGATTATAGAAATAGGAACAAGAACAAAGAATCAATAGAAAAGTGAAATATAAAAGGACTTAAGAAGTAAGAAGATAAGATGTTTTGCAAGATAATCCCAATTATAAAACTATAAGATAAAGAGAAGAAGAAAAAGATTATAAAAACAAAAATATTATGGAAATTATAAAAAATAGAATAAAATATAAGATAAAATAATTTGATTTTGATTCTTATTAGAATCTTGAGAAGTGATTTGTAATAGTAACCTACAAGTGATAATGTTAAAGTTGGAAAAATTTCTATCTGAACCACTAATAGAGTGACAAATTACTTCTGAAGTTGTACTTGAAGTTTTGAATAAAAACTTTGACAAGTGAATTAGAGATTTAGCTTTAATGTTACATATTAATGTATAGCTTATAATTGTTTAATAAATCATATATAACTAGCTTAATAGAGAGTTAAAAAAAAATAAGTTTTTTTAAATATTTTTTTTAAATTTTTTTATTCAAAAATAATTAAGATCTTCAAATAATCTGAAGTTAAAGAATATTTCAATCAAATAAATCTTTTTTGAAAAGAGACAATCTACTTAAATAAAAATTTTTGAAAAACTATAAATTGGTTTTTTTCTAGTGTTTTAATTTAACAATTTATTATTTTTTAGAATAATCTATAGTAACATATTATAGATATAATCCTGTTAGATAGAGATTATAATATCTATCTATTAGAAAAATAAAATATTATTTCTTAAATTTGACTGAAGTATCTAATTGAGATTTTGTTTTTTTTTAATTCAAATTAGTTTAATGAACGTGATATATTTTTTAAGTAGTATAATTCTTTAACTAATAATATATAAAGATAAGTTGATAATTGTATAAAAGTCCATATAATATTATAAATGTTTTTTTGATATCTCAATAAAGATATAGTATACCATAAAAGTATGATTGTGAATTAAAATAAAATAAAATAATTATACAGCTAATTAAACTGTAATTAAAGTTTCAAATTGTCATATTATATTTTAAGTCTTTAAATAATAATAATTTAAATAATTAGAACAATTATTATAAATAGATATAATAATATTAGTTAAGAACGATTACCTGAAGCTATGTCGAATTATCAGTTCATAATAATTTTTAATAGAATAATGTATAGTAATTATAACTTTGTATACACTGTACATGATTACAGATGAATAATAAGTGGAAGTTGACTGTTCAAATTCTATTATTCATTGACAAAAAATGTTTTCATATAGTTCGAACTGTTTGTGTTCAAAATAAATATTTTTTGAAAAATTACCACCCAAATGAAAGGGCATATTTATTAAGATAGGCGAAATTAGATTAATTAGGTAAAGAACAAATAATAAATTCAAATAATAAAATACAAATAGTTAACGTTTCCACGTCTAACGAAGATTGGTGCCTTTTCAAAAACGAAGAAATGATCAATTCCAAAAAGAGGTCGAACTTGCTGATCGCATGTAAGAGCTATCGAGAAAATTAAGCATAACATTTCCAAATCAACAACTGGACAAATAGGAGGGAATAGAAGAAAGATTATATAACTAAATTCTCCCACAATCAAAGATCAAAGGTAAGTATATGAAGTTTAACATTTGAATTATCTAATAGCGTGGAGAGAAAATTGTGCTGAACTAGAACAAGGAACAAAAACAACAAAAAATACAGAACTTTAAATATTATGTTGTTTTCTAAAAGTCGCCAGATACATATTGGTAATTTTAAACTGTGTTCAAAAACAAGAGCAGTTTAAAAGAAATTTGGGGTAATTTTTCGTTAAAATAAGGTTTCAATATTAAATTGTGTGGTTCCCGTCTGTTATAAAATAAATTAAAATAATTATAATTACAATTAGATACATGAAACCACCTTAGAATAATAAATAAGAACTTATCAATTTTCCTTAAAAAAAAAAAAGATTTACTATACCATGTTTAAACTAACATCCTCACGTGTTGCACCTCCCGTGGCCGAACTGCAGACGACCCTGTCACTTCCTCGCCTCTTTTTGGATGATCGGTGGCATATTGTCAATCTAAATATATAGATCATTAGTTATTCCTGTGTATGCCGAAATATTACCGATAAAAGTAATGATTCAAGTACCTGAAAAGAAGCCATCTTCTTCACTATCGTAATTCAAAGTATCGAAATCGACTTTATAACGAAGTACACCTCCGATCCCACCAAACCCTTTAACGAATTGAGAGCCTTCCTGAGAACGATTGGTAACAAACTCCAAAGTGGCACCAAACTCCTTGTAATGATCAGCGAACCATTCCAAAAGTGGGATTCTATCTACCACTTCCATTTCGACACTAGTTTCCTTATCAAGGAAGATAGAACGATCCTTTTCTTGCTCTTTTGTAGCATGAACAATTACCTCAGCTTAATAAAATTATTCAAAGATTAAGATAGAACACATACCGTGTTATAACCGAAAAATGATATTTATAATTAAATCATACCACCACTTGAATTCTTCATTGTGTAACGAGTAACGTCCAAATTTTCCCAGACAATAAGGATCTCAACAGCACCCAATTCCAAACCCTTGAGTGTATCGTCCACGCCAAAACAAAATTTACCAGTGTCCTGAGAAATCTCATCAAAATATCTCGAAATAAGTTTCTTTTCCTGGATAAACTTCACATTCGCAAGACTTTCAGCTGCAAGTTCAATGGCCTAAGGTAATGAAAATGTGTAAATATTCTTTGCATATTTAACGCTTCTAAGAAAAATAAAAAATAATATATTACTTGATTAAAGCCATTTTCTCCACCATAAGAAACGTCAACCAACTTAATAATCTTTGCTTGAAGACGCCCGTCAAACATATCAGATTGAGATAATTCGGTCTTAAAATCTGCGGAACCTGCAAGAATGAGTCCAGTGACGTTGACCTAAAAAAAAAAAAAAATCGCATTAATATACCATTCTATTGTATAATCTATAAAAAGTGATTTCTCACACACTTTGTCATTCGTAACAAAGAATTGAACAGCTAATTCGGCAACTTTACGAACGTAATTGTGACGTTTTTCTTCTCGAAGACGAGCAAAACGTAGCGCAGATTGCCCACCTCGTCCTATTGTAGAAACAGTTATCATTACGGTTCATTATAAAGGATGATATGATATAATGATATAAATAATCCATACCATGTTTCTTTGGTAATTCCACTGCAAACTTATGGATCACTTCTCTAGTATTACCACTCAAAGTTCCAAATAAAGCACCATTACCGTCCATTACAATAAAGCCGAACTTGTTATCTGACTCAAGCAGTTCGGATAAAGCTTCAGTATGGAACTTGTTATCGCAAAGGTATAGAGAAGTGTTGATAGCTTTAAAAGGTTCAAAATCAATGTTAACCTTTTTTTCCTTTCCCTCTTCAGTAACAATGGTACCGCAGTAAACTACAAGACCATTGGTTGGAACTGGTGAAGAGTAAGAAATGTATGAGTATATTAAAATTATGCGTCGAACACAAAACCACATTATTCACCTTTTGTGTATAACTTCAGTCTTTGTTGTGTCGACGTGATTGCAGCTAATACTGACAAACGATTAACGCGAGATTTTATGTTGGACGCTGTTCCATACTCATCTGCTAACATCTTTGCAATACGAGGAATTTGATCCTTGGGTGCTATAAAACGAAACAACAGTCAGCGAATATAAACTTTTATTGTTATTATTCACAATTTTAATGTGACCCACGTATAATAAGAGAGATCATAGAAGTCCCATTTCTAAAATTTTCAAAATTTTCTTAGAAAAATCTTTGTGCTATATACAATATAAAAAAAAATTATTTTTTTTTTTATATACCCTCTAGCTGCTTCCAAACTCTTGATCAACTTCTTCACCTTCCAGATTTCAACGTTTCTATCAGTTGCGTCTGAGGCGGCATTTGCTTGACTCATTTCGACTGAATTTTTTTTTTCGATGTAAAAAAAAGGGCTGTTTTTTTACCAAAAAAAAAAATTTTTTTCGAAAATGATTGGTTATATATACAGTATATACAGTATATATATATTTTTATTTTTTTTTATTTATTTTTTTTTGCTGATAATTACATAATAATCAAACAGTGGAAAAGTTATTGGCTGTGTTGTAATAAAGCTAACTCAACTCGGTCCATTAACGATAAAGCTAAGCGCTTCCCACTATTACATTCTGCTTGCGGTTTTTAATGTAAACAAAATGCGTAAACAATTACATTTAAAAAGAGCATTTTTATAGAAAATGCAGATTAACAGACTAACTTGAAATGTATTTATCTATAATTTTTTTCGTGGGGTGGTTAATGCTGCGGCGCATAGATTTTTTTTTTTTTTCACACACAACTTTGCCTATTTTATTGATTATATGCATTACATGTACTCTTATTTTGTAGACTGTTTCTATGTGTAGCAAAACAAAAAATCAATTGATACAATTTACATTATACCCATTGTGGCTTGTTGTCCTCTATAATGTGTCTAGGCACCATTACGGTATATAGTTGAAGATATCATATATTGTTGTTAGATCTTGAATAATGGCTTCCAATGTTTTTGTAGGGATTTCCAGGTATGGTGTAGGTGATGGATCTAGGAGAAATCTGTTCTTCTTAATTTGCTTTTTCTTTTTTCTTTTGTCTTTTCTTATGATACCTTGTACTTTTTTCCATAGTTGTAGGTGGCTGCATCTATCAATCCATATATTATATGTAATAAATTGGATATTGTTGATATAACTTTTTAAGGTTTTAGGTATTTTCCCTGGGACTAGGAACTTGCTGAAAACTTCTATGACTTTGTTGCTAATTGTTCCTTTTAAGAGTAGATTCCATAGATTGGTTTCTTGAATGTGTTTGATTACCTCCACTTTGACTGTATATAAGCTTCCTTTTTCTGTTTTTTATATTTATTTCACAATGTATAGTTGATATGATTGTGTCATTGATTTCGATCCCGTGGTATGGACATCGGAAAGTATGAATGTTATCTTCTGTTGCAGTGTATGCAAAACATTGGGTTGACATGTATATTTCTAATTTTCTTTTGTGCAGTATATGTATTGTTGGAAGTTCTAGGTTCCATAGTTTAATCGCGAATTATCTTTGTATATGGTCAAAACTATCGGTATGTGCTTCAGAGAATTTTGAGGAGTGAAAGAATTCTATAGAGTGTTTTCAGTTAATGTTCTCCTTCTGTGAGGGTTAAATTGTCTTGTTTTGCATGAAACCACACTATTCATATGTTAGTTCAGTTTGTTGTCTTTGTTTTAATGTTCTTCAAATATTGTTGGAAATCTTTATTGTCTTGTTGTAGAAGAAAGATAAAATTGTATATTTGAGTAGGAAGGTCATGAGAGAGCTATTTTCTATATTGCTTTTGAGGGTTGATTTTGCAGCTTTGTCTGCTGTATTAAGGATTGCATTGATGTCTTCTTCTTTGGTTATCTTTTTCCAGTAGACTATGAGTTGTGCTGTCTTGATAATATGATATAAATTTTGTATAAGCCTGTACTCAATGATGTTTTGACTTTTTCCTACTCTTGCATATGTTATTTCTTTGATTAACTTTGCTGAGTCTGTATAAGCTATTACTGTGCTACCATATGAGATGCAGCTGATTGCAATTGTGATTGCTAATATTTCTGCCTGAAAAGTGGATGCCTGTCCTATAAGTTTTATGTCTAATGTTTTGTACGTGACTTCAAGATGGTCTGTAATAAAGAGACTGATTTCTATTGATGTGAATTGAGAGATATTGAAAGCACTATTAGTTGTTATATAAAAGCTTCTTTTCTTTTCGAAGTAATTGTATGTATCCTTGATTCTTCATTTGGCTATCTTAGTGAATTTGATTATTTTTTGTATTCTGCAAATAGTAACTGGTGTTGTGTTGATTTGAATTAATTCCAATTTGTTATTGAGTTTAACAATCCATCTCTCAATGCTGGTGGATGATACCTGCAGCCTTATTTTTATTTCGTTGCTATTTTCTTATATTTACTTTGATATTAATGCAACTGATACATTTATAGTCTTGTCTTGTGAGACTTTGAAGCAACATATGTTTGATCTATTATCAATATTCTTGTTCAGATCACAGCCAGAATATTTGTTTATTGGGGATTTGTCGATCATTATGTAATGTCAAAATTTGATAGTATTGTCATAGAAGCTGATTCATTTGCCCAAGGTGGTGGTGTTTTTTATTTTTGTAATATATCAGGATATTTCTAGGCTTGAGTTGTCAATGATTTCTTGTATAGAGGATTGTATCTATATCTCAGGGTTAATAGTATTGAACTTAGGATAGTTGCTAATAAAATATTAAATGGTTATTTTGATCTCTTGAACTATGCTGGTTCTTTCAGTTTGTTGGTTTTGTCATGTAGGGCTCCTATTTAATGCTATTCGAGGGCTTTGGTACAATAAGATTAAGTAATTGTTCTACCCAGATTATATTGTGTGCTCTCAGGTCTTTCCTTATACTGTTGTATGTTGAAGGATCAAGAATATCTTCGATATATGTCAGGTTATGTATGTATAGATCATTTCAGTATGTTGATATATTGTTATGTTTTGTAATTGTATTTTTCTGAGATCTTGCAAGAAGTTTGACCATGTGGGATAGACATTGGACACTGTTTAAAGATGTCCAGTTTTTGACATACAGTCTATTGAAGTTATTGTGCATGCAGTCTTATTATTTGTCCAGCTATATTGTCACTGCTGTAGAGCTCTTATATATTGCTGCAGTTTTTCTGCATTTGATGGGAGTATGTTTTCATGATATTGTATAAAGTACTTAGGTGGAGTATGACTTTAGAGGCAAAGAATGCCAGCTGGACTCTTTTCTTGAAGCTGGTTCTAATTTTCCTATTGATTCAATTAATTTCATGTACCGATAGTATAAGATTCATTAGTAAATATTCAATGGATGGGAAGAGGACATAATTGATAATGTATGTGTACATCTTGTCTGTGATACTTTTCCAGGTGATGACTTTACTGATACTGCAAGTTTTTTTTTTGATAAGCTCGCATTGGAATTTTTTTCCTTTGTTTCATTTGTACCAGACTCTTGGCACTCTGATAGCCTGTGTTTTTGGTGCTGGTGTGATAGTGTAGTTTTGGAAGAGAATATCTTTTTATAATGCATTTACAATTAGGAGTTCAGATTTGATTAGGTTGACTGTGATTCCATTGAGGTGATAGAATGATGAACAGATTCTTGTGATTCTTTGAGCTATTCTCTGTTTTGAGTGATTATAGTGGTATTGTCCATATAGGCAATAATTGAGATGTTGATTTTTGTTGGACTTCTATATCAAGATTGGATTTTTGACTTTCCATCTGATACCCTTTCATATTGCTAATTGTGGGATAAGGGGATTATAGTATATTTGCCATAATAGGAGAGATATTGTGTCACCCTGGTCCATGCCTTCCTCTACTTTGCATGGTTCTGTGAGTCCAAAGTGAATTATGACTTTATTTGATCTATTTATGAAGCAGTCTATAATAATATTGATGAACTTGTTGGGGATCTTGATACATTGTAGTGCAGTTACCAGTTTTTGTGTGTTAACAGTGTCATAAGCCTTGCTCATATTTTGAAAGAACATATGGCATGGTTTGTTTTTTTCTCTTGCATCTTCTAGTACCTGGTTTATGATTATTATTGCTTCATGTATGCTGTTTCCAGGGTGAACAGCCCAGTTGTTTTCAGAAAGGATTGGGTAAGTGCTGAGAACCTTTATTAGTTTGTTATTAATGATTTTTGTGAATATCTTTACAATGAATTCGAAGAGTGTGATTGGTCTTGTGATGTTGATATTGTGGTACCATTTTTTAGGTTTAGGAATTGGGTAGATGATGCCTTGTTTCCATTTTTTCAGTAGTTTTTTACTGACTAGTATGTTAATGAATATGGTTGTCAAGTATTTAATTGTTGATATGTTGACGTGTTTGAATGCAGTATATGGAATGCTAGATAGCCTGGAGACTGATTTGTTACTGATGCTAGTGATAACTTCTTTGATTTCTGCTATAGTGATGGGTGTCATTGTATATTTGTACCATTCTGATTTAATCTCACTATTGAATTGGTATACTTGTTTCCATATGGTACCTTTGTATTTGTATATGTGTCTGTACTGTACTCATATCAGAAAGTGTTCTCTGACTTGTTCTTTTATCTCTATTGGATCATGCATGAGTATTTTTTCTGATCTGACTTCTTTGATCAGCTTGGTTGTGACGATACTTCTCTTGAGATTGTCTAAAACTAATCTGATCATTTATTTTTTGTCTATATCATACCATTGATTTCTTGTTTTGTATACACTAATAATGTTGTCTCTGTTTTTTCTCTTATTTCTGTCTTCCTTGTAGTCTTTTCTGCCTTAATTAGAGTATTTATTTCTTTGATGACTTTTTCTTTTGTACTATCTGATGACCATGTTTGTATAGGAACTTTGTCTTTGATGACATTATATAGTATTTTTATTTTTTCTGTGTCACTTTTTTATTGAGGCTTATATTATAGAAGGATTTGTTTGTGGTATTAATTCAGTTGCATGAAGAGAATAGGTCTTGTGTTACTCTGCTGCTTGGATTTGTTTTTCTATTTTTCATAGTATCTTGGAATATGTTTTTTGGCTGCGTTGAAGATAGTTTGTCTGAGTTTGTTTCATTGCTTATCTACATTTATTTGTTTGTTTTCAATGTTGTTTACTATATTTGTTATGTTCATGTCTACATCACTGTGAAGGATTTCCATTGCTTTTGTATAGTCTGTTCTCATAGTAGTCTAGAGTTGGAGTTAGGGTATTATTAACATTTACTTCTTGTTTCTATTTGCCAGCTCTTAATATGTGTGATCTGTGCATTATGGTCTATTGATAGGTTTAACTGGTCAGAGAT